TAATAGAGTTTGAAATTTGTTGTTGCTAGACCCACTTTATTCCTACCTTTTTAAAAAAATTAATATCTTTGCTGTTCTTGACTTTTCATTCTTACCTCTAACACAATGAGCAAACATTTGTTAAACACTTTAGGTGTTCTCTGGTCTAATTCCCACATTATCAAGTCAGGAAACCAAGGTCCCAGTTGGTTAAATAGCCCACTAAAATGGCAGAAGTATGATCAGAAAAGGCTTCATATAGAAATAGTATGTCAGCTGGATCGAAGCAAACTAGGGATTCTAAGGTAGAGGTGGAGTAGGGGATGACAGCCATAGCAAACGTGTGGAGATGGGAGATGAAGTGCTGTGTTTGAGGAGAAATAAAATTGGTTTGCCTGGATTATGATGTACAAAAATGGGAATAATGTATATTAAGGCTGAAAAGCTATGAGGACAGGATTGCAATGAAGGATTGCAAAACAGGATTTTTTTTTTCATCGTAGGAGAAATCAGGAGCTACTGGAGTTTATTGAGTTAAGGGGATGACAGGGCCAGATTTGTACTTAAAGAAAATCATTTGAGAAGCTTTGTGAAGAATGGTTTGGAAAGAGATATAAGGCAAGAAAAATATTTAGGAGACTGTTGTGATAATCTAGTTGAGAGGTGGTGAAGCTCTCCACTAGAATGGTGTATGTATGAGCAGATATAAAGAATGAGATGTAAGAGGTAGTGTAGAAAGAATAATGTTTTGCAGCTGATTGTATATATGAGGAGGTAGAAAGACATGAAGAATCAACAATTACAATGAACTTTTAAACTTGGGGGAATAGAAAGATCATAGGATGGTAATAGCCCTGACAGAAGTTTAAAAGACAGGTGGTTTTTGGTTAAAAGATGATAAGGTGTTTTGCTCTTTGAAATAACATTACCTGTTGTACATCTCGTGTGAAATTTCAAGTAGGCAATTGGTAATGGTGAGACTGGATCTCAAGTAACTAGGTGGATGGGGGTGGGGCGAAAAGAGAGAGAGAGAGACAGACAGAGATCTGGGAGTTGTCTACATCAAGAATAATTGAACTCATGAGAACTGATTGGCTCACCAAGAATGAATATTGAGAAGACAATAAGACAATCTAGGACAGAGACTTGTGTACTCACAGTTTAGGGGCATAATATTGTTGTTGAACCAACAAAAGAAATTTAGGAGTCGTTAGACAGGGAGAAGACCTAAAAGTGTCATGAAAAGCCAAAAAGAGAAGAAAGTGTCTAGCAGAGGAGGGTGGTGAGTAGTGTAAAATGGTGCAAAGAAGTCAAGAAGGGTGATTGAGAAAAGACTTAAATTTGGCAGATTGTGGTTAGGTCAGAAACTAGATTATAAAGTGTCAATAAGGGAGGGAGAAAAAAAGAAATTGAAGTAACTAACGTAGACTAGTGTCGGGAGAAAAATTCTGAGAGACAAAGTTCCAAGCAAGAGCATGATCCATTAATTAGTAAGGCTAGCAGTTACTGACCAGAAAGCTATGTTAATTGTTTTATGGGACCCATCTGCATCTTGTAATCTTTGCTTAGGTTATCAAAACTACCAGACTTGCTGTCTCCTTGGAAGAGATAAAAACTCCTCTAGTTGTATAAGGGCAGGCAAGGACAGACAACATATCTTTTGGGGTTGGTACCAAGTTAACCTGTGGGGCTTAAAGATAACAAGTAGATATAGATGTTCTGGATATATCCAATGGGCTACCGGTATGAAAGATAACTTTTAATTATAAGTTTAAGCTAACTCAGAAAGCTAAATTCTTGTGCTGAACTCAAGGGCATAGAAAGATAAAGAATCAAATATAATATGAAATCAATACAATAAGGAATCAATTACAAAGTAGAATTAATTTGAATTTTTTATTTAAAATTTTAATGGCTTCCAGTTTTTATTGTTGTGGTTATGATTTCCACTTGATTTATTGTGTATTTTTTCCTGTTTCAGCCTACTTTGTATTATATCTTGTCTTTCTATGCTTTCATAAACCATCAAATTCACCATTTCTTAGAAAAATTGAGAAAGATGACAACCTTACTAAACTTCCTTTGTGATATAACTGTAGTCTCAGTACCTAAACCAGAGAAGGATAAAGGAAAAAAAGAGAATTTTAGATGACTTATCATTAGTGAATATTGAGTTGTCAGAAAAAAAAAAGATTATGCTGAAAAGACTATAGTGCTATATCTAAAAATTATTCATCATCATCAAGTTGTATGTATACCAGAGTTGCAGAAATATTCCCTATTAGGAAAACAATCATATTGAATACAAAAACATGCAAACCACAATTATACTGATGAGTGTAGATAAAACCTTTGACAAGGTATAACACCTTCTTAAGCTAAATATTCCACAAAACGGAGGCATAAAATGAAACTTTCTGAACAGAAGTGTAAGTGAAAAGTTATCTTTGTATACAATAGAGGCACACACTAGAAATTTTTCCAGTAAATCCAGGAGTATAGAAAGGACACCCCATTTCTCTGCTGTTATTTGACCTAGTTCTGGAACTCTAATGATAGAAATAAACAAGAGCAAGAAATTAAAAATATTAAAAATAGGCAAAGAGTAGATAAAACTCCCTCTTTAATGATGAAATTATGGTTTGTATAGAAAACACCAGAGACGCAACAAAGAAGCTTAACTAACATCTTTAGGAAAAGGACGGGTTACCAAATAAGTCTATAGGGAACACTTCTTTATAGCAATAATAAAATTCAGTAGTTATAGAGATTTCTGAAAATGACTACAAAATGCATGAAATATATGAGAGACAGTCAATAAGACACACTCAAGACCTATTATCTCTCTCTCTCTCTTTCTTTCTCTCTCTCTTTCTCTTTCTCTCTTTGAGACTAGATCTCCCTTTGTTGCCAGACTGGATGTGCTTGACTACTGCTGTACAAGATGTTGCAAAAATCTTAGTGAAGTTTTAACTTTATATTATAAGCTTTAACACTGTACTAAAAGACTTTTGAGACACCCTATATAATAAAAATGAGACTGCCATATAAATTAATTCACAGATTTATTACTCTTACCAAACAACCAAGGGGATATTTTATATTGGCAGACAAAGTAATAACATTTATTTGAAGGAATAAAGGGACCAAAATCTAAAGGAAAGTTGTTTTTTTTTAAACTAGAGATGAAAGAGGGAAATAGTACTTCTCTACACCTCCAAGTAAATCAGTTGTTAATCAAAATCATTTGATACTTTAAAAATTAGAATAGTATTTCAGTAGAATGGAATAGGTAAAAGATGGATTTGAAATAATTCTTTTCAACAATACAGTTTCAGTAAACCTGAAAACAAAAGTTATTTGAGGATGAACTCAGAATTTGTCAAGAATTGCTGGTAAAATCTTGAAGTTGGGCTGAATTAGGTTTACACTAACATCTTATGCAGTATTTCAATAAGTTCAAAATAAATATATCAACCTTTATTTTTTGTTTTTAAAAAAATGTATGATTTATTTAAACATTTTTTTTAATTTTGAGTTCAAAATTCTCCTATTTAGCCCCTTCCCCACTCATTGAGAAGGTAAGCAATATGACACCAATTATACTTGTGAAATCATGCACAGCATATTTCCATATTAACCATGTTGACCCCCCAAAAAAGGCCAAAAAAAAATGAAAAGAATTATACTTCACTGTGTACTCGAGTTCATCATTTCTCTCTCAGGAGGTCAATAGCATTTTTCATAAGTTCTTTGGAATTTTTTTGGATCATTGTATTGAGTGGAGTAGCTAAGTCTTTCACAGTTGATCATTATTATAATATTGTTGTTATGATGTTCAGTATTCTCCTGGTTCTCACTTCACTTTGCATCAGTTCATATAAATCTTCCCAGCTTTTTCTGAAATCCTGCTCATCCTTGCTTACTAGCATAATAGTATTCTATCGCAGTCAATTCAGTTATTCTCTAATTGAGGGGCATCCCCTCAGTTTCTAATTCTCCACCACAAAAAAAGCTGCTATATAGGTCCTTTTCCTTTTTGTTTGATCTCTTTGGGATACAGACCTAGTAGTGGTATTATTGGGCCGAGGGTATGCAAGTTTTATATCCCTTTGGACATAATTCCAAATTGTTTTCCAGAATAGAAAGACCAATTCACAATTCCTCCAGCACTGCATGAGTGTCCCTTTTTTTCTAATCTCTACCAGCAACAAACCTTAATTTTAGAGATCATGTCAAATAAAAAAGAACCAGACCAGGTAGTACCTTTCACAGTATTGGTTCAGGGTGAATTTTAGGCAATGAATGGCAATCACAAATCATAAAATAGATAATTTCAGTTACATGAAAGTGAAAAGCATTTGTGCTAACAAATGAAAAAATGAGAAGGGATACTATCATTTGATGAAAAACACCTATTAATAACTCTGATAGTAGTTTTCTATCCAGTATACAGTGGGAAATAATACAAATCTGTAACAACAAAAGCTTTTTCTCAAAGGACAAATGTTTCAGGGATATGTGAAAAAATGTTTTTAAGAATTGCATGCTGTTAAGAATTATATGAAAGATTTCTCTACATTTCTATTAAGATGAGAAATGTAAATCAGAAGTACTGATGTACAGAAAATTGAGAAAGACTAGAAGTCATAGCCTAGAGGGAAATTGAGCAAGCCCTAATTGGCCATCCCAAAGCAAAACAAAACCCAGTAGGTGCTGTGGTTCTGATCATTTTAGAAGCCAGTGCTCTTAAGTTTCCAGTAGTACAGAAAGAAAAGAATGCCACTAAATTTCTTTTTCCAAACATGTATGAGTCTCATAATGAGAGAAAGTAGAGATAAATATTGATGCAAAAATGTTATATGACATTTCAGCAAAAGACCTATAGCATTATATGAAAAAATAAATGTTGATCATTTTCTTGATGCCAAAGTCAGAAAACTGTTTACTGTATTTTCTTTTCAAATTTAGCAGGAAATGTTTACATTTGGGTTTTGTTTGTTTGTTTGTTTGTTTTTCAGATTGGATGACTGGGCCTGGAACTAAGCAGTTAACAGAGAAAAGACTTAGAAGGGATGGTTCCTATGTCTTTAAATTGGGAGAAGCATTGAAATATTATGTCACTTTGGAGAAGCAGGAGCCGAACCACGAGGAGAAACATTCTAGGCAAGTAAATAATCATCCAAAGGAAAAATCCTAACAAATTTAAGACTTTTCAGGCTTTTAAATTCAATCCATTTTTCTTAGCTGATGTCCACATAAGAAGCTTTCCATAAATATATATATAAGTAGAATTTCAGACATTATTCAATCTTAAGCAGTATTTAAGAGATCATTATCAAAAGATCAATTTTCTAAATATAATGAATGTGAAGATTGAGGTTATTCAGATATTTTCAATAGCTTAGAAACCACACGAATGTAATTCATGTAGGTAAGCTTGGCAACCACAATTCATCCATTATTTCTCATCACAGAATTCCTATTGGAGAAAATCTCCATAAAAGTCATGAATATACCAAGGCCTTCTGGAACACACACATGGTCGATCATCAAACAATTCACAGTAGAGAGAAGCCTTATGAATGTAATTATTGTGGAAAGGCCTTCCGCTCCAGCTCATACCTTATTCAACATCAGAGAACTCATACTGGGGAGAAACCTTATGAATGCAGTGATTGTGGAAAAAGCTTCCGCTGGAGCTCACAGTTTACTCAACATCAAAGACTGCATAGTGGAGTGAAACTTTATAAATGTAATGATTGTGGGAAGGTATTCCCGAATAGGACATACCTTACTGAACATCAGAGAATTCATACTGGAGAGAAGCCTTTTGAATGTAATGATTGTGGGAGGACCTTCCGATGGAGCTCTCAATTTACTCAACATCAAAGACTGCATACTGGAGTGAAACTTTTTAGATGTGATGATTGTGGGAAGGTTTTCCCCAATAAGACATACCTTAGTGAACATCAGAGAATTCACACTGGAGAGAAACCTTATGAATGTAATGACTGTGGGAAGACCTTCCGATGGAGTTCACAGTTAACTCTTCATCAGAGAACTCATACTGGAGAGAAACCTTATAAATGTAATAACTGTGAAAGAGCCTTCCGTAGCAAATTACACCTTACCCGACATCAAAGACTTCATACTGGAGAGAAACCTTACGAGTGTCATGAATGTGGTGAGTCTTTCCGGTGGAGCTCGCAACTGACTGTACATCGGAAAATTCATACTGGAGATGCTCCTTACAAATGTGATGATTGTGGGAAGGTCTTCTGCTGGAGCTCACAGTTTATTGAACACCAAAGAATCCATACTGGAGAAAAACCCTACAAGTGTAATGATTGTGGAAAGGCCTTTGGCTGGCTCTCACAGTTTACTAGACATCTAAGAATACATACAGGAGAGAAAACCTATAAATGTTATGAATGTGGAAAGACCTTCCTTGACAGCACATATCTTACTGAACATCAGAGAATTCATACTGGAGAGAAGCCTTATGAATGTAATGATTGTGGAAAGGTCTTCCACTGGAGTTCATACCTTACTCAACATCAGAAAACTCATACTGGAGAGAAGCCTTATAAATGTAATGAATGTGGAAAGAACTTCTGCTGGAGGTCACAGTTTACTCAACATCAGAGACAGCATACTGGATTGAAGTTATATAAGTGTAATGATTGTGGGAAATCCTTCCTTAACAAGACATACCTTACTCAACATAGGAGGACTCATACCAGAGAGAAGCCTTATAAGTGTAATGAGTGTGGAAAAAACTTCCGTTGGAGCTCACAATTTACTCAACATCAGAGACTGCATACTGGAGTGAAACTGTATCCATGTAATGACTGTGGGAAGTCATTCCTTAGTAACACATACCTTACTCAACATAAGAGGACTCATACAAGAGAGAAGCCTTATAAGTGTAATGATTGTGGGAGGACCTTCCGATGGAGCTCACAGTTTACTCAGCATCAGAGACTGCATACTGGAGTGAAACTTTTTAAATGTGATGATTGTGGTAAGGTATTCCCCAATAAGACATACCTTAGTGAACATCAGAGAATTCATACTGGAGAGAAGCCTTTTGAATGTAGTGATTGTGGGAGGGCCTTCCGATGGAGTTCACAGTTAACTATACATCAGAGAACTCATACTGGAGAGAAGCCTTATAAATGTAACAGTTGTGAGAAAGCTTTCCGTTGCAAATTAAATCTTAATCGACATCAGAGAATTCATGTTGGAAAAAAATAAGTGTAATAATTGTCAGTGGCCTTTGGCTAGCTCTCTCAACTTATATGACATCTGTGAATTCATACAGGAGGAAAAATACCTATATATGTTACAAATGCAGAAAGACTTGCCTCAACAGCACATATATTACTGAAATATTAGAGAATTCTACTGGAGAGAAGCCTTCTGAATGTAACAATTGTGAAAACACCTTACATGCCAACCCACATCTTACTGGACAAAAGAGACTCCAAACTGGAAAGAAACTTCATGAATGTAGGAACATTTTCCACTGGAGCTCACAATTTACACAGTATCAGAGAACACAAACTCTTATGAAAGTTGTACTTGAGAATTTTTTCTCAAGTGACAACTTAACTGAACATCAGAGAATGTATACTGCAGAGAAGCATTATGAACATAGAAAGGCTTTTCATGAAAAGTGAGCTGTTACTTGACATCAGTTAACTCATACTGGAGAGAAACCCTATAAATATGGTGAATGTGGAAAGGTCTTTGAAAGCAGAGCTCTTACTCAAAGTCATAGTGCTCATATTGGAAAAAACTTACGGAGATAGAAACTTGTGAATGTAATTGAGAAGGCTTTCAGCTAGTTGAGCTGAATATGAAAGGAAATCAGGAATTGAATGAGGAGATTTAAGATTAGAGGGCAATTCAGGTATGGGGTTCAGAGAGTTCAAAGACAGAGTTGTAAGCTGGATCACTATCATATCGAGATTCTCTGGAACCATTTCTCCTCAAACCCCACCCCCCCCCTTGGCCATGTAGATTAGAATAGGTTTTTGCCCTGAAAGGCAAGGTAGCTTTCCCCAAGACTTAATTGGCAAGTAGGCTAAGGCTCAAGCTGTCTAGCTGTTGGTGCATCTTCTTTAAGGTATGTTAACATAGCTTCCTAGTCATCTAAGAACATAAAAAAGCTAGACTCCCAGTTCGTGGGGATTTAGCACATTCTCCTCTGCTAACCAGATTTGTTTCTATATGTAGATGAAAGGTGACCTTTCTATCCAAGCTAAGTGTTACACTCTTATTGAGTATCTTTTTTCTGCTATGGCTAAGTAAATCTTTTAACTATTGATTGAGAACGCATTCCTTTACAATATTTGACTTAAACTAGTGGATCAGCTTGAGGCAGGCCTGGTCCACAACATTCCATTTATCTGGATCAAAGTGCCTGGAGAGGAATAATGTGTAAGTACACTTAGAGAGGTAAGAAGGGCCCTGAGTGTAAAGAATTTTTAATGACAGAAATGGTTATATTCTAGAGCAGGGATGGGGAACCAGCAGCCTTGAGAACATAAATGGCTGTCTAGGTCCTCAAGTGCTATGTTCTGTGAAGTTTGTATTTTGTCAGAGGGCTGCATTTGAGGACCTAGAGGGCCACATGTGGCCTCAAGGCTAAGGTTCCCCACTCCTGTCTAGAGGCACTAAGGAGCCACTGGAGTTGTATAGAAGTATTATTTCTGTAGTCAGACCTATGAGTTAAGAAAATCACTGGATGTGTGGAGAACGGATTTGACTAGGAAGAGGCTAATGCAAAGAAACCAAATAGCAGGTTATTTGCAATAGTCTGAGTGAGAAATGTGATGAGGACATGAATTAAGGTGGGAGCTGTATGGGTGAAGAAAATGGGAAATGTCCATCTTTGTACAGAGACATTGATAAGATTTGACAACTGATTGGAAGTAGGGAGTAAGAGTGAGTAATTAAGGATTACACAGAGGTTAGGGACCTGAGTGACTGAAAGGAATTGTAATTTATTCAGTAATAGGAACAGTCTGATGAACAGTGGTTTAGGGAGGTGAAAAGATAATGAATTCTATCATCTACATGAGAAATCTATGGGGAAATCTAGTTAAAGTGCCTGTTAGATAGTATGGATGCTGTGTGATATGGAACTGAAGCTCAGTAGAGAGCCTATGGTTAGATATATAAATCTGGAAGTTTTCTGCTTTGAGATGGTAATTAGACCCCTGGGATATGATGAGATAGCTAAAGAATATATGGTAGAGAAAAGGCCCAGTATAGAACCTTGTGTTGTACCTACTGTTAGTGACATATCACAAATGAAGACTGAGCAAAGGAAAAGAAAGAGTGATCAGCCAAGCAAGAGGAAAACCAGGAGAGAGTAGTATTAAGAAAACCCAGAAAGGAAAGTACGGTAAACAGTACCAAGTGCTACAAGCAGGTTGAGAATGATGGCACCACTTGTTGGTTTATATTGTACTCAACAAGTTCAGGTATGAGTTGAACTAGATGGCAGCTGAGCTTCCTTTGAACCCTAGAATCTTAGGATTAAGTGAATACTTTGACCCAATGAGCTCTGATTTTTTTTAACCATTTAAAAATTATAAACTATTCTTCATCAATGATCAAACTACAAATAAAAATAAACCATTAACATTTTAAAAAGTAAGACCACTCAAATTCACAACATAAAACAGTTTTGCTTTTTGTTCTGTATCCCTTTTTAGGATTTTGAATCTGCTACCTTTTAGTTTTTTATCCTGGTTCTTGACCCCATTGATAATCCATTTGCAGTGTCAGTCCAAATATACAAGGTATTCCAGAAGTCTTAGTGCAGTTTTAAGTTTAAATAACCTTAGAACGTCACCAAAATTTTTGGAACTACCCCGCATATATACACACACACACACACACATATCCCTCCCTCTCGCCCGCTCTTCTCCCTCCCTCCCTCTCTCTCTACATACATACATACACACACACACACACACACACACACACACACACACACGTACACACGTGCATTGATGGAAGAGTTCTATAGATTGGTCATCTGATTTTTATATCACGTTCCAGACAACAGGTATTTTTCCTGTGTGAGTAATTAGGGCAAATTCTCAAGTGATTGTATATCTCATTTAGGAGGCTCTTCAGTGTTCTGAAATTTGAGATTATCATTACAATGAATGTCATTCACAAGAGCATGTAAAGAACCTCACCACCTATTGGGAATGATATATATCATATAAACACACTAATATGCTATATTTCAAAGGAGGGTTGCATTCAATCTACATACAGTTCTTCTATTCACACTTTGTATCACTTTATATAGACTATTTCATATTGTTTTTTTCATTTTATATTTCCTAATTAATAGCATGATTGTTTTGCATTGTATCATACTTTATTCAGCCATCCTATCATTATGTTTATGTGTGTGTGTTATTGGCATTTTTGCTCTTGCATAAAGGTGCTGAGGATATTTTAGAGTAGAAGCCCTTTTTTTCCTTATAAATTTAGTGTGAAGTCCTTCTATGAAATTGCTAGGATGAAATGTCTGGTCAGTATTTTCACTCATTGAATATTATGACATTTTTAAATGTTTGCAAGTTTACTATTTCATTAAATATTTAATGAAAGGTCTATTTTACCCACAGTCCCTACATCATTAGAACTTTCTGGAGTTTGAAGGCATTTTGTTCATTATCTAAATTAAATTTACAATATGATGAGTCCAGGTCCGTAAAAGGAAAAAAGGCCCATCAATGGGAGAATGACTGAACACATTATAGTAGAAGAATGTAATGGAAATTATTGTAATATAAGAAATGATAGAAAGGGATGGTTTTGGAAAAACTGAAGAGGGTTGCATGTGAGAAACAATATTGCAAAATTTAAATAGTGCAATGACCAGCAAAAATTTGAGAGGACTGATGATGAATGTTCTCAACTTCCTGATGGAGAAGTGATGGACTCAAGTTGTAGAATACATTGGAGTTGATATATGTTTTTGGATACACCCAATATGGGAATTTGTTTTGCTTAACTGCATGTATATTAGAAAAAGAGGAGAAACTATCCTCTCCTGTTTGGCCATATTACTTACATTTTAAAAGTAAGACAAAGGGTTTTTGATTGCTTTTCTTCCTCTGGTTATTTTCTTTTAAAATATAACAGACATGAAGCAGAGAGATGGAAGGAGATAATAGCCAAGTTCCTCCTTCTTCCTGTCCCCACAAAACTCCCTTCAAAAACATCTAGAAAATGCATCAGACTGACTCTTCAGGGTAAAATCCTTGAAAAAAGTCAGTGAATCATTTTTCCAGCCCATGTCTGCACAGGGTGATAGAGAGGTCTCTGAGGACAGTCTGGCTACAAGTATGCTGTGTGCAGAAGAACTCCAGTGCAGAGAAAGGCTGTGTCTAGGTAAGACTTAGTCCCTAACCCATACCAAGGCATCTCAACTTTGTGCAGGCTTCAGGAACAGGTGCCACTTGGCAGTTTGGTTGCCTGCTACCCAGTTCTAAGTCACAGATCCAAGGTGGATTGAGGAGAAAACCTTTGGCCAAGGATGTGAAAAGAGTCCCTGGGCTGTGCAGTGAGAGGATCAAATTTAGAAACAAAGCAGGAGTGTGGCCCAGATCTCAGGAGCAGGGTGGAGTCTCATTTCCAGCCTCTACCACCATCTGAATCCTACAGGGATTCAGGGCAGGATAGACCCAAAAGGAGCCTACAGTTTTCTCACTCTGACCCAGAAGATTTTACCAGCTGGGTAATAATGGCTGTATCAAGCAGTTATCTATGCTTGCTCAGAACCAGATCAGGAACCTGCCAAGTTCAAACTAGGGGGTCAGTAATCATACTTTGCTGTGGTTCAGACCACTTGAGAAGTACTGGGAGCTTGCAAGCCTCAGCTTCACTGGACAGTACTCAGTATTGCTGAAGTCAGAAAGTGAGCTAGAATAAACAAATGAAAAGAATCCTACCACGAAAAAGCTATTTGATAACAGATGCTTAAGACAGACTTAGTAAAGAGTGACTCTAAAACACCTACAAGCAAAGTCTCAAAGAACACAGCTGAGGCACAAATTCAAATAGAATCCCTGAGAAGAGATGAAGCAAGAGTTTTAAAATGTTTTTAGAAATGAAATGATAGTGCTTGAGGAAAAAATTTGGAGAAGAAATGGGAGCTATAGAAGAAAAAATTGAAAAGGAATTAAAAGCTTGGCATAAGTTTATAAAATCTTGCACAGGAAACAAACTCCCTGAAAATTAGAATGGACCAAATAGAAGCCAACAACTTCATGAGATACTCAGAAACATTCGGAAGTTAAAAGACTGAAAATATAAGAAGAAAATGTAGGGTATATCATAACAAAAACAACTGATCTGAAAAAATGGATTGAGGAGAGAAAACTTTAGAATCATTGGACTACCAGAATACCTTGACCAGAAAAAGAGGCTAAAATCTTAAAATTATCTACAGCTCTTAGAAACCTCAAAATAAAAACGCCCAATAAGATCATAGCCAAAATCTAGAACCTATAGGTTGAAGAAAAAATGTTGCAAGCAGCCTGAAAGGATTCAAGTATATAGTGAGGAGGACCACGTTTAATTTAGTCACTACCACAATAATGGTGGGGAAAGATCAGAATACAATATTGCAGAAGACAATATAGGCTTACAGAACAAAGCATAATCCATAGGGAGGAAAATAGACCATAATGAAAAGACCAGAGCTTTATAGAAACATTAAAGTTTAAACACAGGCCTGAAAAGAAAAGAAAGAGGTAAACATGAATGAACAGTCATAAAGGACTAAGCAAAAATGAACTTCTTACATTAAAATATGGGGAAATGATGCATGTGTCTCTTCTGATGTTATCGTCATTAGATATTGTAAGAGGAGTCTAATTAGGGAGCAGGACTGGTAGTACTTCTGTTATATCTTAATGTTCTTAGGAGAGCAGTGGAAAGAAAAGAAGAATATACTGGGAAGAGAAAAGATAGTGAAAAATAATCTCACATAATCAGGGTACATAAGTAACCATAACAAATGAGGAATACAGTGGGAGGTAGCTTTTGACCCTTGAATCTCACTCTCATCTGAACCAGTCAAAGAAGGGAAGAATACACATAGAGTTAGATGCTAAAATATATTTCGTTCAGTGGGGAAAAGGAAGAATTAGAGGGAAGGTAGATTAAGAGAGGGATTAGTCTTAAGCAAAACAAACTAAGGATGTACAAAAGTATTTCTAATTCTTTTGATTTAGCAGTCAATGGGAATCTGAAGGAGGTGCTCATATATTGAGGAATGGATGAACAAGTTACAATATATGAATGTAATGCAGTTCTGTTGTGCTATAAGCACAATGATGACGTGGATGGTTTCAGAGAAACCTGGGAAGACTTATATAAACTCATGCAGTGAAGTAGACAGAACCAGGTAAACAGTTTTTATAAATATAAAATATAGCAAAGATACAACTTTGAAAGAATTAGGAACTCTTTATCAGCATAATGACTAACCACAACTCCAGAGGATTAATGATGAAACATTTTACCCACCTCTTGATAGAAGGGTGTGTTCGGTACAGAATAAGACATGTTTTGTTGGACATGGCCAATGTAGAAATGTCTTCTTTGACTATAATTGTTTATAATTCTCAGTAGGGAGGGGGGTGGGATTAGACTGGGAAGGAGAGAATGAGTATTTGCTGATTGAAAAGAATAAAATCTTTTTTTAAATGTAATAAGTATAAACTCAATAAACATAATTCTTCATTTGTACTGATAAGTATAAGAAGCATGTGGTACCTCTTACTCACGTACAGGCTGCTGCTGGAGGTGTCATTTCTTATATGCCTTTGATATAAGGAGTCACCCAATCTCCTTAAAAGTTAGGGAAAAAAAAGATCAGCACTATAACCTTTGAAGTTGTTTAGAATGATGGTGGATTAAGCAGTCAGTTGAGTACATTTATTGGGCTCATCTTCCTTTGGTATTGTTTAAAAATATTAATTGTGATACCATTTTAGGTTCACTTTAAAAAATGAAATAGTAAATATTTTTAAACCATTTTTTAAACCATTTTAAACCATTTTTAAACCACTGTAATTTAGAATATGTAACTATAACGTTATCACTTTGATTTTAAAGCCCTGTAGTATATCCACAAAGGGCCATGTTTGTATGAAATGAGTCATCTTTAAATATCATTCTACACCTATCTTTGACTTGTTCTATCATTGTTTGGTGCCCTGTAAACAGAAAAAGTAGAAATGAGTTACTATATGATCTAGTGACACTGATTTCCTTGTGCCTTCTCCCTACTTGCTTTTTTACTGGCTGAAATGCTATCTTCCCATGCTGTTTTCATTTCTTGGTTTCCTTCAAGCTCAGCTAAAATCCTTTCTGTATGAATCTTCTTAGTCCCCCTTAATGTAATGCCTTTCCCACGAGATTGTCTCTAATTTATCCTGCATATATCTTGTTTGTGTATAATTTTACTCCTAGCCATGTACTCTTCTGTCCAGTGACACTGGCCTCCTAGCTGTTCCATGAACAAGATACTCATCTCTTGGCTCCAGACATTTTTGTCCACCATGCCTAGATGTTCTCCCTCAACTCCATTTACTGACTTCCCTAATTTCCTTTTAAGTCTCAAGTAAAATCCTATCTTTTACAAGAAACCTTTCCCGATTCCTCTTAATTTTAATGACTTCCCTCTGTTAATAATTTCCCATTTATCTTGTGTGTGTGTGTGTGTGTGTGTGTGTGTAAATTGGAAAGGTAGGAAGGGACTAAGTTATAAAGGCCTTAAACACCAGACAGGATTTTGTGTTTGTTCCGGGAGCCAGTGGTGTTCATTGAGGTGGGGTTAGGGGTGGGGGTGTGTGATATGGACTTCTATTTTAGGAAAATATAATGAATATAGTGAATAATATACCAGAAAGCTTAAAAAACAGGTTGTGGCCAAGTTATTGAGAGCTTTAAAAGTGAAACAGGGAAGCATATATTTGATCTTAGAGAAAATAAAGAGCTAATGAAGTTGAATAGAAGAGAGGCATAGGCAGGAGGAAAATCACTTCAGCAGTAGATGTGGGATAGACCTGATGCAGAAAAACATGTCAGTGACAGCTGTTAGATGACTGTCATAATAACCTAGGTGGTAGGTAAAAGTGAACTAGGGTGGTGCTGTGTGAATATAGAGAGAAGAGGACAGATGCATGATGTGTTAATAGAGGTTTAAATGTTGATTTGGTAATTGATTAGATATTTAGTGTCAAGGAGAGTGGAGGGTCATACAAACATGGTATACTGGAAGCATGGTGGTGCGGTAAGTAGAAATAAGGAAGCTTAGTAGAAATAAGGAAGCTTGGTAGAAAGGGAAGGTTTATCAGTCAACTAGCATTATTAGGGTAACTGGGAAGGGGAAAAGGATTTATTAAGTGCCTGCTTTGTGTCAGGCACTGTGCTAAAATTGATGTATACAAAGAATGGCAAAAAACAATCCCTGCTTTCAAAGAGCTTACACTCTAACAGGGGGACATTTTAAAAATATGAATGTATAAACTAGACACAGGATAGATTGTGTTGATCTTAGAGAGAAAGCACTAAGATTAAGGAAGACTAAGAAAGGC